ATAGAATTTTTTGAACTACGGTAACCATTTGTACGTAGAAAATAAGTCGTCGAGAAAATGTTTTTTAGTTTATAATACGTACGTAAGTCTTATGGGTCAGATTTTCAAAAAAAATGTATAAAATAAAAGGGAAATAACCAAGCTTTCAATATAATAGAAGGTATTTTGATTCATTCATGTTTCAAAAATTTATGGAAGTGTTATGAAAAAAAGTGGAAAATTACCGATTTAAAAAAACATAATATTTTGAGGGATTTGCCCTTATTTACAGTGATTGAGGGAAATTTTTTTGAATTTTTATGTTCAATGTATTCAACTAAATAGTCTTCAAACTTAAAGAGATGGAGGGTTGATATTGAATGGGATATCGTGACAAGTGGAAGTTTAGGATAAGGGTGGCCGACCACAAGTAGATGGGATTTAGGCGAAGAATATGAATAAGAATACGATTTGTGATCTTTTGACGTGTCGTTAAAAGAAATCGGTCCAGTGAGAGCTGAGAAAAAATGGTAACAGACAAAAAAAAACACATCATAGTAAAACCAATATCTTCTCAGCTTCGCCTCGAAGATAAAAGTGAATCAACTACAAGATATATTTTAGGTATAATAGATGCATAACATAGGCTATGTGGAGCTTGACTGGGCTACACGTTTAACTTTTGAACACTTACATTGCTGAACTTATTAAATAAACATATTAGATTAACGATATCAGTCCTTGGTGATTTGTATATTTTACAATGATATAAAGTTATTTTTGAAATATTCTAAAACTAAGACTTGAATTTTTAATTTCTTTAAAAACTCCTAGAGTTAATTTTATTTAGAAGAAGACTTATAAGATAAGAAAAGTTCAGTAAATTAATTTTTTGCATGAAACATGATTTAAAAACTTGTATAATGACTAATACTACAACCATATATAAAAATTAAGTACATGATTTTTTGTCCTTCTAATACGCATAGAATTACTTAATCGATAAAATTTTCTTATTTTAAAGTTCAAAAGAATTTTTGTGCATAAATATCTAGAAACTAATATAATTAACACTTTATTGCCTATCTTAAAAATTTATATGTAAAAAAAGTTTATATGCTAACATATATTCTGTTTTGCACCTTTAAATTAAGAATATTTTTGTTGAAAGTTTTAAAAAAAATACATAGTTTTCAAATATGAAACTATAATCTTAAGATAATTACACTAAATTAACTAAAATCAAATTCTTAACAAATATCATGTATTAAAATAATAATTTTAACTCTCAAAATTAAAAAAAAATTGAATTATTTTAATTGAAGGTTTAACAAAATGCTCATCTATAAAAATAAGGTATTGTATAAAACCGTCATCAGTTAGTTATTTACTTAGGCAAAGTTCTCTAAATAAATTTCAAATAAAAATATAAAAAAAATGTGAAATAAATAAAATGATTTGAGTATGATTAAAAGTAAATTAAATTCGAAAAACAATAGTAAAGTGATTTCGTTGATAACAAGAATAATATAATGTGTAGAAATTAGATGAAGAAGTATTGAATTACGTCGATTTTAGTATAATATAAGCTTTACAATAGTAGTAAGCAATTTTTGAACCCTTAAGCAATATAATAATTCCATATAAAAGGGAAATGCTGGGTAAGCAAATTAATAAAGGTGGGAAAAAGAATATAAAAGGGAAACATCAAAAGTATAACGAGACTGGACGTTTTGTCGAAGAAAAGTCGAGTTACGTGGATACGAGTGTCTTTGTATGATTTAATTTTGTTTTGTGTTACATTTTGAATTTTTGACTTTGTGTTTGATACGTTTCTTAAATAAAATAGCTATTTAAAAACCCTGACTTAGCGCAAATATTTTATATTCACCGTGTTCTTATAATTGTGTGTGTGTGCGCGCCTAGAGTCAAAGTTGGACTACTGGTCCTTTAGTCAATCTTAATAATTAATGTACGAGCTGGCTAGTTTTTTGGGTTTAACCGTCCTTTAGTGGTTATAGTAAAAAGGTAGTTGTGCTGGTGGCTGACAAGGAGTCACTCTTCAGTCTGCTACTTTTGAGCTGACGGGTCTAAATTCTACCCCTTTAGTAGTTCACTAATTAAAGGGATTGGGGCTGATTAGTTTATCCAACTGGAGGATTGGAGAANATATATATATAACATTCATTAATTTGTGTAAAACTTTTGTGTCTACGTTGGGGTACTACCGACGTACGACAAATGTTATAAAAAAATTATAATATCTAGTAACAGATCACATTTGTATAATTTCTATTTAGTAGATTTGATTATAAAATTAATTTTCATATTACATTTTTTAGTTATTTAGCCAGTAACTTGACAAACTTATTTCTGTTTAATTAAAAAATAACGACCAATGTACATTTATTCTTAATTTTTAATATATTTTTAATAAAATATGTTAATAAGTAATAACAATGTTTATTGTAAATACTTTTCATTAATTTTTGAGTTATATTAATTTCATGTTTAGAAAGCTTAAAAAATAAAAGAAAGAAAGTAGTAATAATGAATGTTATATTTTATACTCATTATCACGTATTCTTACTATTATTTCAACCCTTTTTATAATAACCTTTATTCTTTCGTTTTAACTATAATATTACTTATCATTGAAGTACAATCCCAAAATAAATTATTTATTTTCCACTGGTTCATAGCCATCCATTTCCCATTTACTAACCCTTTGTTAAACTTCTAAAACTTAGCAGTATCGGCAATAAAATTAAAGATTACTTGTAGATATTACTTAACCTTATCATCGTGATTCCGCAACCTCTACCTAATTAGAACTTATTTTTTCAGTTTCTCCAGATTAAGAATTAGGTGCAACTATTTTCTCTCTCGTTCATTTGTTCATATGGTTTTTCCTAAATTTCGTCTCATATTGTTCTTTAAAAATTTTGAAACTGCAATTTTTCCAATCTTGATACTGGTATTTTTGCTCATACTTCAAAAAACTGTATTCATCAAATTCCTTCAACAATCGTTATTCCTCTACTGAAAATTTACTCAATTCCCGAATAAATTTAAAGTATGTAATTCTAGCTGTTCTCTCATCCATAAGAAATATGAGGAAAGGCTTATTTATTTAATTTTTATTACATTTTTTATAAATCTAATTGTTAAAAAGAATTTGTTTTTAATTAAAGGACAAAAATAAATTTCACTGTATTCCACTTTTGTGTTCAGACTATTTTAAAATTACCTTTTTGATATACCCATTAAATCTAGCTATTCCTCTTATAAGTCCTAATTCTTTATCAAAATCTATTTTATTCATTGGGATATTAAGTAATCTGTAAACCATGTCATGGCCTTGGTAATACACGCGCGTTAGCACTAAAACGCCTTTATAATTTAGAAATGCGATTAATCAAAGATCCGGTGCTATATGCCGAGTATCGCGCATTCATGGCTGAATATGTCAATCTCGGTCATATGAGACCTGCCACTCAACCGGGTTATTACTACATACCACATCATGCCGTAGTAAAACATGATGGCGAAAATATCGAAAAATTACGGGTGGTGTTTGACGCGATGTGGCGGCACATCGACCGGTTATTCTTTGAATGACGTATTATTAGGCGGTCCTAAACTTCAGAACGATATATTCGATATTATTCAAAAGAATAGGCTTAAGCGTTATATGTTAACCGCTGATATTACAAAAATGTATCGCCAGATATTAGTGCGAGACGCAGACCGCCGGTATCAACATATTTTGTGGCGGGACTCAGTTGAATCTGAAATTATTGAATATGAATTATGCACTGTTACGTAAGGTGTTACTTCAGCTCCATATCTCGCCATAAAATGCTTATATGAGCTAGACGCTCAAAATGGGTCTGGTTTTCCTACTGCAAAAGGTGTATTGACTAAATCCACGTACGTCGACGATATTGTGATCGGCACTGACACTGTGGATGAATTATTAAAAATTCCTGTAAAGGTATTAGGTATGCATTGGGATCCTACATCGGATATGTTTGCTTATCATACTAACATTCAACCCGATCATCCTTATACGAAACGCAAGGTACTTTCTACCATCGACAGACTTTTCGATCCTATAGGTACGTTCGGACCCATACTTTTATGGGCAAAGTCCTTCATGCAAACGTTATGGCAATCAGGTCTTGATTGGGACAGTCAGCTACCAGAGGAGTTAAATACGTCATGGAATCAGTTCGTAACAGAATTGCCATCCATCGACCAAATCAGGTTACCTCGACATATTGACATACGCGCATATTCACAAATAGAATTAGTAGGATTCTCCGACGCTTCATTACGTGGTTACGCGGCTGTTGTTTATTTGCGGTTAGTAGACATCTCCGGTCATGCTACAATAAATTTTGTTACATGTAAGACAAAGGTAGAGCCAATTAAAACCAGCAAGTGCCAAATTACGGTGCCGCACCTCAAATTATGTGCCGCGTTATTACTTGCAACAACGTTGAATCGCGTAAAAAACAGTTTAGATATTGATATTTCAAAAATTTATGCGTGGACCGATTCAACAGTCGTATTATCATGGTTAACCGTTAGCCAAAAATCCTTTAAGGTATTCATAACAAACAGAGTTGCTAAAATACAGCAATTAATACCGGATTGTAAATGGTCATATATCAACACGGTCGACAATCCCGCGGACCCGGCATCGCGCGGTCTACTACCATATAATACCGTATTATGTCACATTCATAGAAGGACCAACATTTTTACGATTACCTGCCGAACAATGGCCGCGGCATAATTATGATCTATTGATGCCTGAAGAATTGCTGGATTATCAACAAAAGACAGTAGTTCTCACAACTATCGATAAAGAAATCGCCGCCGATCAAATTTTACACCACTTTTCTACATTACAATGAATGCAACAATCGCTCGCTTACATTTATCGCTTGACTTTTAAGGTCCGCCGTCAACCCATGCCCACAGGGACACTGACTTATTTTGAATTAAACGCCATGTTACAAAAGGCAGCCTTATTGACTCAAGAAGAATATTTCAAAAATTTAAGAAAACAGTTACTTAATCATAATCAAGTTACACCAAGTTCTCTCGCTCAACTAACGCCGTTTGTTGACGCGACTGGTCTAATTCGTGTCTGCGGCCGCCTCCGCTACGCGTCATTAGGTCCAGATGCAAAACATCCTATACTGTTACCTCAAAATTCGCATTTTACACGTTTAATGATTCAAAACTATCACAATGGATATTTACATGCTGGACCAAAGTTGATTTTGTCAATGATAAGGAGAAAGTTTTGGGTTATTTTTGGTCGTGATGCCGTACTGCAGTTTATTTTTACGTGTACAATTTGTGTAAGACATAAGGCCACTCACCCACACCCAATGATGGGAGATCTGCCAATTTCTCGAGTTTGTTCACAACGTGCCTTTCAAGACGTCGGGATGGATTATGGAGGCCCCTATTTGGTAAAGGAACGACGTCATCGCAACACTAAAACCACCAAAGTATACATAGCGCTTTTTATTTGCATGGCCGTAAAGGCACTACACATTGAAATCGTTTCAGATTTAACTTTGGACGCTTTTCATGCTGCCCTTGACCGGTTTGTAGCGCGTCGAGGAATTCCGTTAAACTTATATAGCGATTGTGGTAGTAACTATATTGGAGCGTCGCGTCAATTAAAATCTCTATTTGCGAATGAGGCCGTACAAAACGCAATGATTGCACGAATTCCATGTAATTGGCACTTCAATCCTCCCGCCGCCCCTCATATGGGTGGAATATGGGAGGCTGGCATTAAAAGTGTAAAACACCATTTAAAACGAGTTATCGGACTTCAAGTAATAACCTATGAAGAAATGGAAACGTTAGTAATTCGTATCGAAGGTATACTCAATTCTCGTCCTCTGACACCCGCTTCAGCAGATCCTCATGATCTACTCGTATTAACCCCCGGCCATTTTTTAATAGAACAACCTATTCTGTCTTTACCCGAAACTGACGTTACTGCTGTACCTATGAACCGATTAACACGCTGGCAACTGATTCGTCATATTCACCAATCGTTTTGGAAACGTTGGTCAAGTGAGTATTTAACGACACTTCAAGGCCGACTTAAATGGACAACAAAAGAAGAAAATATAAAAATTGGAGATCTTGTCATTGTTGAAGCTCCAAATCGTCCACCGGCCGAATGGAAAATGGACCGTATTATAGCAGTCCATCCAGGTTTAGATCGTAGTACGCGTGGCTACCGTACATACTACAGGCGGTAATGTCAAAAGACCGGTAGTAAAACTAGTCAAACTACCCGTGAATAGTTAATACATCTAACAAGTTTTATATTTATCCTATTCTTTCCAGATTTCTTTAATAATCCTTTAATATAACTATGTACTTATTTGTAGTTTAATTTTAAGATAGATTTTAAGTTCAATTTTCAATTGAGGATATCAGTAAGTTGTTTTGAAAGCTTTAGCTTTCAACGTCGGGAGTATGTTAGATACACATCACAAGAGGGCGTTTTTTCTCAGATTTTGCTGTGACTGATAGCGCCACTCGCGCTGCCACCACCGGTTGTGCGAGGGATTCATCATTGCGTTGGATGATAACGTGCGCGATTGATGTAAAATTCTTTGAGTCATAGTGTATGTGATGCTGTTACTATTTTGACCCTTGTCAAAGTGTTCCATAAGACTTTTCGTGAATAATAGTTTTTTTTTTATAGACAATCGCCCTTGCGATTCGCATGTACTTTAGTACGCAAATATAGTAAATTCGCCCTGCGACGCGCCTGTACCCATCTACATCGCCATATCATCGCTTTACAATTAACCACATCCCATTGATGATAATGAATTGCATCCACCATTTGGTTGAAAGGTTATTCATTCCAGATCAATTCATTTGTACAACTTTCAAGACTACAGTAATTGTTAAGTAATTAATTAGTTGTCATTATATTATTACTTTTACATATATTACTATTTATTTGTCTTCGCGCCAATGTTGCATTAGTATTAAGTGACCCCCCCATCCACAATTTTATAATAGTTTAAATATATATTATTACTTTAATATAACTTCTTATATTGTAATTCATATTACTTTATTTGGTGTAAGTACCATCCTTTTATATACAGTCCACTCCCTATTTCTTTCTCCGGCATACTTAGATAAACTAACTGGACGTTAACTAACCCGCATATTATAACCGGGCGTTCCGTTCAAACAATTATAATTCTTTGCTAAACTTAGTCTAAGATACAAATTCCAATAAACAGTTAATAAGTCTTATTATTAAGGAACGCTCAGAATCTGCACTATAAAAAGTTATATTTTTTGCGCAATAATATCACAGACCCTCGAACATAAAACCAGACCATAAAATTCAAGGTCAAATTTGACCGTCTGCACGGTAATTGCACCTATATAAGTACAGTACATGAACACTAATATTGATTTTCTGAAACATGTTACGACAATGCAGACTTAATCCTATTTATTAATACCTTCTCAGTTTTTCATCGAATCTAAAAATTTACAAATGAATTATTTCTTTACTTTTAGATAATCAGGTATAGGTAAATATATGTGCAAAAAATACATTTGTTTGTTTTATAAATTAGTATCCAGAAATAATGTATCTTTTTTTTTAATTATGTAGAAAAATTATTATGACTATTATGATAAATTTAGTAACTATTAAAAAAAAAACCATCTGTAAAATATCAAGGTTTATTTATAGATTTAAATTTCAGTATTTCATGTTGACTGAAACAAATAAAGCAAGTTCTTATTATTATTTTGAGTATAATTATGACGATAAAATTATTATATAAAATATTAAGATTTTGTACCTGTCATCAATAAATAAAATGTTTATATTAATAGTAATATTAAATATTTACAACAAAAGGAAATTTATTAAACGCTTTAATTGCTATTTTAAATATACATAAAAATGGCTAAAAAACCATAGTATTGTTATAAAATTAATAGAATTTCAATTAATCTATTATTTCAACAGTTTTAGTTATCAGTTTTTTAGAAAATACCGTTTATCAAACCAAATATGTATTACTACATTTTCATTATTATTTATATTACCAGTAGTTTTTCAAATGGATTTATTTTCTTGTCTTATCCTTTGAATGAGGTAAATATAATTTAATTTTTAAGAATATTTAGATGTTTATCGAGACATATATTATTTTTTATTCTATCTATCTTAGATATATGATTTTCCGAAAAAAAAACTATTTGATATTAAAATCATTTAACTACACCAAGCATCAAATTTCCCTCTTAAAAAAAAAATTTGCTATTCAAATATTATTCGAAAAGCAAAATTTCATGAAAATCTTTAATAGCTGTATAAATGCAGTCTTTTATTTAGATACAGTACAAATTGTTTTATTATGGTAATATTTTTTTACTTTATATCTATGTCTGATTTGAATGATTCTTGGGTTAAATAAACTTTTGTTGCACAGTTGTGACGTGGCATAGTTGGAACAAATATAGATGATAATTGACAGAGTTAAAATCACTACCATTAAGGACACTTCCATTAAATCTGTAGATAGTATTTAATTTTTAGAAGAAATTATTAAATTTTTCCAAAGCAACGTGAAATCTTATTTTCTTATTTATATATTGATTAGAAGTTTACTAATTTATAATTATAATATTTGAATAAATATACTATAAATAGAATAAATACTATAAAAATGAAATATTAAAGTTCTGACCCTTTATCTGCCCACAGTATGGAATTCAAAATATTCATGGTTATTTTATTACAAGCAATTCAATTTTAAACTATTAAAACTTAAAATCCGCGTTATTAGCCAAAGATATTTAAAAATACTTATTGCTAATATTCTATAACTTCTTTCAGTATTCACTACTGAAGTTCTGAATTTTATTACTTTAAATAAAATAAATAGATTGTAATGCAAAACCTAATTTTTTTTAGGAAAATAATTATGGTTTAAAAGTGATATTTTTATAATTAATTTATGGAAAACTTTGCTATTTTAAATTAAGTTGAAATTTTAAGAAACCCTAAAGGTGGATACGTTTACGAAGTAATAGTAATTTAACAAATTCTTGTAAAACTTAAACAGTATCTACAGATTTGCGCCGGAGAGTTATTTATAAAAGCGATTTTAATCATTGTCAGATATCACCTATACTTGTTTCCACAAGCCAAGCTCCTATTGTATTGTGACCCCACATTGCTGAGTTTTAATAATTATATCTAAATAATTTATGGATATATCCTTAAGCACTTCAAGCAACAAGACAATCCATGAAAGCTTTAACACTTTAATATTATTATTACTCCTAATGTTATATAATTTATTTCAGAATATGGAATTAACTGATTCAGCATCGGCTGCTTTGAAAAGATTTTTTCAATTTCTAACAGAAGAAAAAACAATGGGCTATAAAGAATTTAAAAAGCTATTGAATGATTTTGATTGTGTACACAAAATAAATAATAGTGAAATCGAACAACTATTCGAAGATGAAAATATAAGCCGTAAGTAAATATCTAATCATGATTTTAAGTTAAATTTTATTTTCAACAAATACCATTATAGATATATTTATATATTTGTGAAATAATATATTTGCCTATTTTTTGAAGTATTTTTTATCTCACATTGTTTACGGTTTAAATCTTATAAATACATGCAATGTTGATTTATGCATATTAATTCTTAATTTGTTACAAGCAATATAATTTTAATATAATATTTATATTATTCCATTAAATTTGTTCTAAATTTTCGAGTTTTATTTTAAATATTAGCCTTCACCTAGCTGGGGCCCTGCGAGTCTCATGAATAGGCCACTGATTAAGATGGGAGTACCCGGCTACGTTGGGCAAGATAACTGTTTTGCAGGAAAAATATTACATATTCAGAATCAAAGTAACAAAAATATATTAAAAATGCAATTTTTAAAATCAGGAAAATTCAAAAATAAAAATAAAAAATCCCACCAAAAGGGGTCGCGGCATAGTGGTGACGTGGCATAGTTGGATCAAGTATTATGATATCTGAGAGTGATTAAAATCACTATAAAAAAAAACGCTTTGATGTAAATCTTTAGATAGTGTTTAATTTTAAAAAGTTGGTGGATTATTCCAAAAGCTACATGATCTGCGAGTTCCTTATTAATATCTTGATTAAGATTAAGTATGTCGAATTAAATAGAGATTTTTAAAAAATATTATTTCTCATAAAAAAATTGTGTTGTTCTTTACACTTTTCAATAATTTATAGCATTATAAAATTAAAAATTTTAAAAATAAAATCGAGAATTTTCATATGGATATAGCATTCGGTAACCATTTTCCCCACGACAAGTAGACAAGTCTAGAGGTCAAATTTTTTATTTTCCATTATAAAGCATATTATATTACCTTTAATTTAAGATATATATAAAAGTGTTTTATAAAATTTATTAAAGTAATTTTTAGAATAAAAAATTCCATCTGATATACATGATATATTAGTAAAATATTTTTTTATTCGTTATTCAAATAATCAAAGCCATATTTAAATATGCTAAAATATTTTTAAAATGTATTTCAAAAAAAATAAAAATACAATTTATTATTATTGATAGTCATTTTAAATTATAGGGATTATCGAAAAAATTATTGTTGATAAAAAGTTATTTTATTAATTTATCAAGTTGAATTATTCCAGTATTAAATAAAAAACTCACATCTAGTTACTTTTAATCAATTAATAATATTTTTATTTATTTTTTCTTAGCATTCAGAAACATGGTCGTGTTATTATATTACAGATAATTTGATGATATTAAAACATATCTAAGTACTAAATATGGGTTCGATTTTAGGCCTTGAGGCAAAGATGAAAAGGTATTAATTTTACTAAGATGTGTTTTTTTTGTGTCTGTTACAACTTATTCTCAGCTCTCACCAAACCGATTTCTTTCGTCCATACGTCAAAAGATCACAAATCATATATAGTTGAAGAAATTTTTCTTAAAAATTGAAAAAATTGCCCTTGTTCACTATAAAAAGAGTACATCCCCATAAAAGATACAATTTTTAAAATTAGTTAATTTTCGACATTTTTTAAACTTTTTTTTTTAAAACTGCCATAAATTTTTTAAAAATGAACAAATCAAAAACATATTTTTTACATAGAAACCTTAGGTATTATTTTATTTGATAAATAAAGTTAAAAATTTTAAAAATAAAATCTAGAATTTTCACACAAAAATAGCATTCGGTAGCTATTTTCACCGTGAGGATAAAATAAAGTCCGAAATTTTTTTTTCCATAATAAAGTATATTACATTAACTTTAATTTAAGATATATATAAAAGTGTCAGACTTTCCGGAACATTTTCAAAAATTGAAAAAATTTCGAAAGTTAGCGATTTTTAAATTTGTAATTTTTTTGGAGGTTTCCCCTATTTACGGGAAACGAGGGACTTTTTTCTATTTTTGAAGGTAATATCTTCGACTAGATACAATTTGTGATATTTTGACGTATCATTGAAAGAAATCGGTTCAGTGAGAGCTGAGAAAAAGTGGTAACAGATACAAAAAATAAAAAATAAACATATCTTAGTAAAAGCAATACCTTCTCTGCTTCGCAATGAAGCTAAAATGTATTGAGTATAAGGTTGACGTTTTTTACTGAGGTATTCCTTTTGAGTGTATTCAGAAATTATTTTATGAGGATATTTATTTTTTTTACTTTGTTAAACATGGTATAGAATTATTTTGCTAAAAGTCAAAGTGATCATCAAAAAAAGGTCATAAGGTCCTTATTTCTTAGATAATGCCTAAAAAAATATTCATGGCGCTTGTTTAGGAGGGGCAATCGCCCATATTAAAAATTGACAGAGAGTATCTTTATACTTATTAAACCAAAAATAAAATATAAAAATAACCAACATAAGTTAGATAATAATCTAACCTAATCTATTCATATATGATAACTATAACATATATTAAATATGACTTAAAATATGAGTTTAATATTTTTACTTAATAATAATTTTAATATAGTTTTAATTTTACTTAATGACTTAAAAATTAATTTTCTACAAATTCATAGTAAAAATTTATATTTGCCCCAAAATAATACAATATTCTTATTCAAAACACGTGCATGGATTAAAAAAAAAAGAAGCTCGTAGAAAGGTAAAAATGAACGGATTCAGTTAATTTTCTTTATGATATCTCAAAAAATATTATTGGACAAGTCTGGTGAAAATTTTAAACCTTAAGTCATAAAACGTAGCGTCAGGTTTAATACTGTCGTGGTCGAGCGGCAAAAATTTTCTGATCTTCTTCAATAATTTTTCCAAAGTCTCATAACCAAATACTTTCGTTGAAAAAAAATGTTGAAAATCGAAGCACGCTAAGTAATTTTCCTAGAAAAGCTTTTTTTCCTTGTTCTATTATATGATAAGATAATTAGAAATGAAATGAATAGATTCTAACGCGAATTTATAAATGTTTTGGAAAATATTTGTTATTTAAAGTGTTACTTTTGAAACCAGTTATTGGAAAACTTTATTATTTTAAATTAAGTTGAATCTTATAGGAAACCATAGAAGCCTTAGAAACAAATAATTTTTAAGAAACCATATTATTACTGAATAAAATTTTTCATGAAGCTATGCCTTTATTTTATGAAATACTTAAATCATTAACAGATAAAAAAATTCACCAGAAATAAGTCACTACACAATGTGACTATAATAAACCTATCATGTTTCAATTTTGCCTAAAATAGACCGAAGAGAGAAAATTAAATTCATAAAATTATATTTAATAAGCCAGTAGAATACACTTTATTCTTTAATACTTATATTTTAGTGAAGGATTGTTTTTTAACAAACTTTAAACTACGACGAAAAAAAAAGCTAACAAGAAAAACAATATAAACTCTCAAAAATGTTTTACTAGTCTGACACCGCAATAAAATATCAAATCATTTGTGATGGTGTCACGTTTTCATAATCGTGAGAATTATTTTAATAAAATACAGACAGCACATCCGCTGCCTGAGACTGATGAATTAACAAATAATATTTATTGCCAATTTGGCAATAGTTCTAATTATTATAAAAACCCAATAGACCTGACCATCGTGGTCAGTCGACTCCAGTGCCTTGTGTCATTCATTAGTCTCAGTACTCGGTTGTCGCTGTCTGTCTTACTGTATAAAGTAAAGTCTTTGTTTATTCCTTTTTAAACCTATCTACTCTCTTCCGCAACATTTCGGAGTACTTGTGTCTTGCACTTCGTCTGCACCTCATACCTAGGTGTTACTCTTATTCTCCCTTCCTATAACAACAGCCTTTCGACACCCACAGCTAACCCGGAGTGTCAGCCGAGCACGGTGACTGCTGTACGACAACACGCACGTGAATACCTAGACAGCAGGAATCACATTCTCATCTTCATCTTCGTACACACATTACACATTTACACCCACCTATCTATTTATTTTACTGTGTTACGACAATTTCAGACAAAGTCATAACAGGCAGAGTTAATCTCAGCTTATTTCAATCGAGGAACGTTTGAATTTATTTGAATCGGAAGTCATGGATCCCCTGCAAATACACCGATGTATAACTTAGATGCTAATCAATAAATGTGTTAACACGAACAAAAATGAATAGCTGTTCGATAAATATACACGTTTTTACATAAAATTTAAGATGTCAAGTCGTTTTTATTTATAAATCTTCAATAAATAATGTTATTAGAAAAAAAAAATTAATGTAATAGATTACAGCTGATTTTCTGTATAAATTATATAGAAAATCAATTAATAAACATTTACAAATAATTAATATATATATATTTTATGTTTGTAAGTCAGTAGAACCTTATACTGTCACCCTAGTTAACTCTATATAAATTGGGTACACTTAGGTTACTTGTGAAAACCAGGGACATATTTAGGGATGACAGCATTTTTCCGTAGCTATAATATATTAAAATGGGGGTATGTAGGGGTGGTAATAAGACTTTAACTGGGTTGTCAAACTTCTAAATACGTCTCTGGTAACAACATTTATTTTTTCTAGTTACGAAATCGAGATATTCCCAAAAGAGCGACACATATTTTATTTTATTCATAAAGTAATTCTTTTGGGAATAAATAATTAATAATTCTAAATATATTTCAATATAAATTTTTGGTAAATTTAAGGTGTACTTTCTATAAATCATTTTATTTCACGAATATTCATATATTTTGATATATTAATTTCAAACAGCACTAATACTTCGTATATAATTAAAAAGATTTAGCAAGTATTATTTGATTTTCAAATAATATAAAAAACTATATCATGTATAAATTATTATTTGTAATATTATAATAAATAAATTACATTAAGTGACATATAAATGTCGGTCAGTGAAAATAATGAATGAAATTGTTGTTAGTATTAACATTTTACTTTTAAATAAAAATGAATTAATAACACATAATTTTTATTATATTAGAAGACGTATTTATGCATTTTGATCAATTTAAGAAACTAGCGACGAAGTTTATCATTAAATTAGAGAATTCCATTGAATATATTTTTGAATTTTTTTCGAATGATAATTCATTACTAGATTGTTTAGGATTAATGCTAGCTCTTAGTTCATTACAAATACCAATGACTGAAGAAAATTCTACTGCACTAATGTCTTCCTCTATAGACGACATATGGGTTGATATGAAAGGTAAAATAGATATTACGTATAATATTTAGACTTTTACTTCTTATGGAAGGTATTATCTTTCAAAAAGTTTTTTTAAGCTCCAAAATCGATAGTTAGTCCGTCGTCAAAAAGATGAATGGCCTCTACATTTACTGAATTTATTTATAACCCACCAAAAGGAACCATTTGCAAATGCTTCCCATGTGCCATCAAGTGTCATGAAATTTCAAGTTTTGACCTGATCTTATTACTTTTTAATTTCATCTGATATTCATAATACAATTGTAGAATAATTTTTTATTCGTTACCCAATTTATTTTTTTAAGAGATGAATATGTTTGGTAGTGAAAAGTTATTCTTTTTAAATTTAGTTTAATGAATATATTACTCAAATATAATAACAAAAAATAAACATTATTTTTAAAACTTACCCTATTTTCTTTTATTTAATTATATTAATGCATGTTCATCATAAATTTTCATATAAGTTATTTTTGTAAAATATTACATGGTTCTCTTAGATTTTTATACATATGCGAGTATGTTAGCAAATAGAATAATACTATAATAATATTGATATTAAAACAAATTTTCTTATTAAAAAATCTTTTTGACGGCATCTAAATTTGATAATCGTTATAATTTCAAATGATTGTCGAAAACATTATAGTTGATATAAAGTTATATAATTAATTTTAAAGTTGAATTGTTCTATGCATTAAATAAAAAACTGAAATCTAGTTATTTTTAATCAATTAATTTTATTAATCAATATTTTTTTCTTATTTTTTTTAGCATTCAGAAAAATATTCACGACTATGTTTCATAGCAACGTCGTTGAATTTATGGATAAGAAACATGGTGACAAAGCTATTATTGATTTGACATATTTTAATGTATAAATAATTGTTAAAGCTGCATTAATAATAAATTGAATTAGTTTACGAAATATTAGTAGGTTTTATTATTGTATAAATGTTTCTCCGAAAGGAGCAAAGAAAGATATGCCTTTTCTTATAAAAATTATATCTAATTGCGTAAAGTAAAAAAAAAAGACCAGCACAGAGAAGTCGCGGCACAGTGGTGGCGTGGCATAGTTGGATCAAGCATAGTGATATCTGACAGTGATTAAAATCACTATCAAAAACAAACGCTTCGATGCAAATCTTTAGATAGTGTTTAATTTTAAAAAATTGGTGGATTATTCCAAAAGCTACATGATCTACTAGTTCCTTATTAATATCTCGATTAAGATAAAGTATGTCGAATGAAAAAGGGTTTATTAAAAAATATTATTTCTCAAAATAAAATTGTGTGGATCCATAAACTTTTTAAAAAGTTATAGAATCATAATGTTAAAAAATGTAATATCAAGAATTTTTTAAAAAAAATAGCATATTTTTGCATACGGTAGTCATTTTCACCATGAAGACAAGTCCAGAGGTCAAATTTTTTTTTTTCAAATTGAAGTATATTACATTAGCTTTAATTTAAGATATATATAAAAGTGTCAGTCTTTCCGAAACATTTTCAAAAGTTAAGTAAAAAAAAATAATTTTTGTAAAAAAGTTACCATTGTGAAACCCTTCCTGTGGACTTATCAAGGGTCAAATTTTAACAAAAATATTTTAAATGATAGGTGAATATCTAAGGTATATATAAATAAAAATTAATTCAGTCATTTTTAAAAAAGTTAAGGCGGTTTTAAGTAAAAAAAATTGAAAAAATTTCAAAAATTAGCGATTTTTAAATGTGTAATTTTTTTGGAGGTTTCCCCCATTTACGGTGAACGAGGGACTTTTTTCAATTTTTGAGGGTAATATCTTCGACTAGATACGATTTATGATTTTTTGACGTATTATTGAAAGAAATCGGTTCTGTGAGAGCTGAGAAAAAGTGGTATTAGACTCAAAAAAAAACACATCATAGTAAAATTAATACCTTCTCAGCTTCCCATCGAAGCTAATAGATACATAAAGGATCATCAAAATAATAATTAATTAAGAAATGTGACTTCTTTCAAGAAAAAAGAAACCATTTCAGGATGAACGATTGTAATTTAATAAAATTCTATAAACTTCTCTACTGATTTGTACTATTAATTTAATTAAACAACTTTTGAATAATATGTTATTTTTAATAAAGAGACAAAATATTTCCATTTGTAACTTATGACTTTTAAATTGTTCAATAAGTAAAAAATTGATCAATTTTATTTAAAAAAAAATGGAAACCTTTTTTTTACTTTATGAACACCCATTTAAAAAGGCTTATGGAACAATAGTTTATATAGATCTGATATTCGTTTTAATATTAAAAAAACCTAGCACAATGGGGTCTTGTAATAGTTGAGTCCAGTATAGATTTCATGTAACAGTGATTAAAATCACTATAAAAAAAAAAACGCTTCGATGCAAATTTGTAGATAGTGTTTAATTCTAAAAAAATTGATAGATAATTACAAAAGGAACATCAACTTTTATTTCCTTAATTATTCCCAGATTAGTAATTCTTTATATATTATATAATTTTTAAAATTAATTGTATTCAAATTATTATTGATTTTGATTTATATTAATTTGAAACCTACTTTTTATTGTTCTTTAAAATGAAAGTTTTAATAAAAAAAAAAAATGAATTTATTACCATAACATTTAGCTCAACTTGCAAGTTTGAAATTGACATTATTAAATAGAAAAAAAGAAAGTGTTAAGATTAATATGCAATCAGGGAATTTTATAATTACTATTTACAGTACATTTATCAGAAAATTTAGATTTTTTTACATTTTTACCGAAATAGATCACTTAAAAAAAAATCATAGTAATCATTTCTAATGAACTTTTGGCGTTTAAAAAGATTCTACAATGCAAAATATTAATAGTCACAGTTGGATTTGAACCTTATACCCTAAGCATGAAAGACTTTAGTGTTATCGGTTCGGCAACTGATCGTTGTTTTCGTAGCTTGATAAAATTGGCTATTTAAACTAACTCAAATTAGAAATTACTTTTACGACTTTAAAAAAATGAAAAAGTTCTAATAAGTTTAATTTCTTATTTGTTATGTAAACTTTATTCTATGTCAATTAAATTATAAAATATTCATGAAAGTCAGTGTATTGCCCTTATAAGATATTTTAAAATAAAAAAAAATACAAAATCGAGGATTTTAACACAAAAATAGCATATTTTTGAATATGGTAGCCATTTGCGCATAGAAAATAGGTCTTCGGGGCAAATTTTTTTTTAATTATATAGTACATGACATAAGCTTTAATATAACATATGTTTAAAGGATGCAATATTTCCCGAACATTTTCAAAAGTTAAGTTGATAAAGTTAGTTATTTTAAGAAAGTTTCTATTTCAAATCCCCCCTGTGAGCAGAATAAGTGATAGATTTTCAAAAAAAATGATATAAAATGAAAGGAAATTACCTAATGTTTCAATATAAAAAAATATTATTTGTTAATATTTGAAAAAGTTATGGGAGATTTAAGCAAAAAAAAAAAAAAACGCTAGCACAGTGGGGTCGAGATACAGTGTAGACGAGGCATAGATGGGACAATTATAGATGATATTTGACAGTGATTAAAATCACTATCATAAGAAACGCTTCGATGCAAATCTGTAGATAGTGTTTCATTTAGAGAAATTGGTTGATTATTACAAAAGCAACATCAACTCTTGTTAATACCAGGATGAGAAATGATATCTCGATTACCTGATGATTAATAAGAAAGGTTCTTTGTATTTAAATTTATATAGAAAGAAGACTGTGATTGTTGGTTTACATAAAAATAAGTTTATACAAAACAATAAACAATTTCGTACAAAATGACAAATTTTATAATCAATCCATCCGTGTGGTATAACAATAATCAAAATAACAATAATGAATATAATATGTGCTAATAATTTACATAAATGTAACAGTAATTGACAAACTCACCAATCAAAATTTTGTATACAATTATTATACACCAATGTTCATAGGCAAATACTTAAATCTAATGATTTGCAATTGAACGTATTAAACATAATCCGTGCGATTTAAATAAAATAATAGAAAACGTCATCCGTGTGACTACAAAATAGAAAAATGTCATCCGTGTGACTTACAACAAAAAAAAAAAATGTCATCCGTGTGACTTACAACAAAAAATTCAACCACTGAAAAAACACAAAGAAAAAAGAACACGAACAAATGATACTAACACTTATTAATAACACATGTCGATCGGCCATGATAACCGGCCGACGACGGCCAGCGACCGGGAGAGGAAGGGAGGACGAGTGGACCGAACTGATTAGCGCGCTATCTTGTATTTTTAAACAGCGCGTACAACTCTCCTCCCTTGAAGCATTGTGCTTCAATACACTTAAGAATCGGGCAATGGGCATATCTTGACAGCAGGTCGTTTTAGCTGGTTACCATTGGCTAGTCTTACCGTAACCACTCGAACTATCTTGTCCCTTCCCGGATGCACAGCTTCTATTCTTACCATAGGCCATTTTAATGGGGGTGCATTATCTTCCTTTAAAATTGCTAAGGATCCAATAGGAATAGGTTTTTCATCCTTCAACCACTTATTCTTCACCTGTAACGAAGACAAATATTCCATTCTCCATCTACGCCAAAAGTCTTGCATTGTTTTTTGCATCAATGCCCATTTTCGTAATCGATTTGCTGGTATATCCAAAAGATCCGGTTCTGGTATCACCTGAGCAGGTCCACCAATTAAAAAATGACTAGGTGTTAGAACCTTAAAATCGCACGGATCTGAAGATAACGGTGTTAAGGGTCTTGAGTTCAAGCACGCTTCAACTTGAGCAAGTACGGTACACAACTCTTCAAAATTAAAACTCGTGCCCAAAATAGTGCGTACCAAATGATACTTACAAGACTTGACGGCCGCTTCCCAAACGCCTCCAAAATGCGGCGCTGATGGTGGTATAAAAATCCATTGTATACCTTCATCAAGCAGTTCATCATATACAGTTCTTCCGGACCTTTGTTTTGCATAATATTTGATTATTTCCCGTTTAGTTCCCACGAAATTAGTGGCATTATCAGACCAGATATGAGATGGCAAACCTCGTCGTGAAATGAAACGTCGTAAACAAGCCATGAAGGCATCGGCACTCAAATCGCTGACGGGCTCGAGATGTACAGCTTTAGTAGATAGACAAACAAACACACTAACATAAGTCTTAATTAATGTGCTCTTACGTATTCCAACCTTAATCATAATAGGACCGGCGAAATCAATTCCAGTGTGCGTAAACGGCCGATTTGCGGACACTCGCGCAGCTGGTAACTGTCCCATTAATGGTTGCATTGGAATGGGCTTCGCTCGAAAACATTTTATACATTTGTTAACGGTTATGCGTGCTAGGTCTCTGCCTCTTAATGGCCAAAAATGTGCACGAATATTTGCTAGTAAACCTTGAGGACCGATATGTAGGAACTTCTTATGGTAGGCTTCGAATATCATTTGAGTCACTCGATGATTGCGTGGTAGCAACGCTGGATGTTTCTGGTTCAAATCTAATTCAGAATGTTTCAAACGACCTCCAACTCGCAATATCCCTTTGTCGAGGAACGGCGATAAATTTTTTAACGGTCCCTTAGTTACGAAATTACCCTTGCTTAATTCTTGTATCTCTGCTGAAAAAGCCTGTTGCTGAACAAATTTAATCCAGATATCACGTGAGTCATTAAGCTCAATAACACTAAGAGGACCTGTTCCTGGTTGAGGTGATGTAGGTTTCGTTCTACGACGGACCCAGGCAATAAACCGCTTCCATATGGCAGTCATGCGCAACAACTTGTGCCAGGTCGAAAAATATTGAAGTAACCTATTATCTACGGGAGCAGTCGTTGTGAGAGTAAACTTAACAGGCCGTCGTTCATTTGACACTTCTTTAGAAACCGTGTATGATTCGTATGTGATTGGCCAATCTTCTTCGACGCCTCTAAGAAAAATAGGACCATTCCACCATAGGTCCGACGACAACAACGCGTCTACATTTATTCCACGCGAAAGGGGATCTGCGGGGTTACAATCGGTAGGAACGTGTCTCCACCTTTCATTGCCGATCGCATCTAAAATTTGAGTAACACGATTAGCCACGTACGTCTTCCATTGGGCGGGAGTACCCTGAATCCAAGCTAAGACCACCGTTGAATCACACCAACAATACACGTCCTTTGAATTAAAATTGCTCAATTTGACGATTCGATTCATTAACTCAGCTAATAACAGTGCGCCGGAAAGTTCCAATCGTGGTATAGTTAAAGTTTTGGTAGGCGCAACCCGGGATTTGGCACATAATAATCGAACTGTCCATGAATTTAGCCCGATTTGCTGACGTAAGTAAATGCAAGCACCATAAGCACTTTGGGACGCATCACAAAAGCCATGTAGTTCCATTGTGCCTTGACCATCCGTTTTAACCGCACGAGGTATCCTTAACTGGTGCAGTCCTTCTAACTCTTGAATATAAGTAGCCCACCTGACTTGCAACTCTTCGGGCAGAACATCGTCCCAATTCAAATTGATCTGCCACAATTCTTGCAGAAACACCTTTCCTCGGATTAAGACGGGACCTAAAAAGCCAAGTGGGTCAAATACGCTATTTAGTGTTGATAGCAAATCTCTTTTGGTTTTAACGCTTCTTGCTGTTCTTTCCTTACTCAAGAACTTCAATTCATCAGTTATGGGACACCAAATAAGCCCTAGAGAACTCACTGTCATATCCGTGCTAAGTTCTAAAGAATAATGCTTTTCCGTAGAAGCACACGCGAAATGCTCGCGTAATTCCTCAGCATTTGAACACCATTTACGCAGTTGCATACCACCATTTTCTAATATTTTAGAAACCTCCTGATACATGGTCTTTATATCTTCCATGCTGTCAGCACCGCTAAGGTAATCATCCATGTAAAAGTCTTGTAGTATTGATAAGCTTGCCTTAGGATAATCAGCAGCGCTGCCCAGTGCTAACTCCTTAAGAACTCTAGTGGCTAAAAACGAAGCGGGAACCGTCCCATAGGTTACAGTATTAAGTACATAATGTTGTAAAGGCTTGTCAGGTGCATCGCGCCATAATATTCTTTGAAAATGTCGATCATTCTCATGGACGAGGACTTGACGGTACATCTTGGCGACATCTGCAGTAACCACGTACAAATAGTAACGGAAACGCAGCACTATATCGAAAAGCTCTTGTTGCACGACAGGACCGGTCATCAGAATATCATTCAGAGAATAATCAGTAGTGGTTTTCATAGAAGCATCGAAGACAACTCGCAACTTGGTGGTGCTACTTGAATCTTTATACACCGCATGGTGGGGTATATAATAATAAGTACCGGGTGTTGCAACGGTATCATCTATTTTTGACATGTGACCCATCTCTTCATATTCCTTGAGAAAATTTTTATACTCCCTTGCCAATTCTGAATTATTACACATTTTTTTTTCAAGTGTCAGGAATCGTTTGAGAGCCATATTCATTGAACCCCCAAGCACTGATGGTTCTTTTCGAAACGGTAGTCGAACGACAAAACGCCCATCCGCTAATCGACTATGAGTGTCTTGAAAATATCTCTCAAACGCTAACTCCTCCTCATGTTTCGTCTGCCTGATTAATGGTTCTGAATTCATCCACGCAGTGGTTGTTCCTAGTGCACAGACGGTGGATACCTCGACAACGCTATGATCATCATTCTTTGACAAAGGGCCCGAAATTACCCAACCAAGAGCCGTATCGTACAACCAAGGCAAACCTCCTGGCATCACCAACGGCTGTGAACGAATTAGCTCATAGTATATCTCAGCGCCTAATAATAAATCTACTTCTGACGATATGTTGAACTCAGGATCGGCCAACGCATTTCGTACATTGTCGTGTAGACTCCATCCACTAACGTCGAAGGACCGTGACGGCAACGAGACCGTTATAGCTGGCAATATGTAACAACCAATAGTTTTACTGAATGGAGAGTGAACAGCGAAGAAAGATAAATTTGTCCATTGAGATGACCTTGTGTTAACCCCATTAATTCCACAAATTGGTAACATGGCATTTTTAACGTCCAAGTTTAAGCGCCTGGCCATTTTTTGTGTCAATATGTTGATTTGTGATCCGTTGTCCAATATGGCGCGACATGGAAACCTTTTACCGCGACTGTTCTGCACCATAACAACTGCGGTGGCTAATAAGACTTGGGTACTTGTACATGCATTGTGAACCGCGACAGAACTACCAGGTTCAGTCATTGAACTCGTAGAACTAGTTTGTGATTGCTCTGATGGCACTAACCCACTGGTAGGAGCTTCATCTGCTCTATTGGGAGTGGAAGTAGCATTCCTAGACTGGTACGGTAATCCATGCAACATAGAATTATGTTTCTTACCACAATGCCGACATAATTGCGATTTGCAGTCTTGTACCGTGACCCGAAAGGAGACAGTTAAAGCATAAGTGCTTCTGCTTTACTTCGCCATATCTGTTAGTTAAAGACATAGATTTAAATTTAGGGCAGTGGTAAATCATATGAGTTTGTGAACAGATGGGACAAATTTTAACTCTTTTTTGTACCGATAACACAGTCGAACCACGGTTACTTACCTTTGACTTGTTTACTTGACGACCTTGACCTACTTGTCCTTCAAACGACTCTAAGGAACTAGCACGTGTCTCTAAAAAATCATAAAGCATTTTAAATGTCACGTCGTCATTGGCCTTATGCGACAAATCCCATTTTTCCAGTGTAGCAAGATCCAATTTACTTCGTACAATCCCCACTAACAGATCATCCCAATGCTCAACCGGTCGTTTTAAAGAACGAAGAGCTTCCACATGCTTATCAAACGTCGATAAAAAGTTACGCAAATCCTTTGAAGCTGAACTTGCCAAATTTTTCATTTCTAACAACGATCGAACATGGGTGTCTATTAAAAATCGCTTGCGCTCATAGCGATCCTTGAGAAGAGCTAAGGCCCGACTATACGACGAATCGCCAACATCTAATCCATCGATTAAGTCTAACGGCGTTCCTTGTAAACAAGATCTTAAAAAATACAATTTATCCACCTCATCGAGACTTGCAGCATCATTCACTCGTTTCATGAAACAATTATAAAACCTTGGCCATTTTATATAGTCTCCGTCAAACTTCTCTAACGGTAACGATGGTAAATGTGTAACCGACTTCATGCTCAGATTTTTAGCGAGCAAGAACTCTAACGAGACATGCGAAGACGACTCTTGTGCATGGACATAGTTGTCAGGCGATGAAACCGCTGGCGTTAGCGTAGGTATTAATCTTGATAATCGACCCACCATATCATGATACTTAGATTCAAAATCTTCGCGCTGCTGAGCATGATGATCATCGTCATGATCAATGTCAATTTCCTCAACCTTTTGTTGAACATCTTCAAATTGATTTAAAATAGCAGGGAGAGTATTTAAACGAGACGCGGCTTCTGCATAAGAGGCTGGAGATGGAATAAAACGGTCGATAAAAGTTGCTACTCGAGTTAATGAACATTTTATAATAGCGCGCCTACGCACTAACCCTGCGATCAAGTCAGCATTACACAACTCGGGTTCATTATTATAGGCATCGTCCGACATTCTGAAAAATAGCCTTTGAATATTTTACCGCGCTATCCAAAATTTGCTAATAATTTATAATGACAAAACGAAACGTTCAAATAAATAATTAATCTAACAATATCACAACACTTACTACAAATTTTTCCAAATGATTTTTTCACAGAATTTCAAAGTAATAACAATTGATAAAAATCACCAACAGTACTGATACATTAAATAAAGGTAAAAAACTTAATAAATAAGTGTGGGTGAGTGGATCTTATAAATATAATATTTTTAATTTAATACATTTT